CCTGCTCAGAATACAGAGTAACGGAATTAGAAGGGACCTTGGAGGTCTTCTAGTCCAGCCCGCTCCTCAAAATGCAGAATAACAGAGCTGGAAGGGACCTTGGAGGTCTTCTAGTCCAGCCCGCTCCTCAAAATGCAGAATAACAGAGCTGGAAGGGACCTTGGAGGTCTTCTAGTCCAGCCCGCTCCTCACGGCCCATGCCAGCTCACCTTTGCTGGTGCCATCTGGGCCTCGGAGTACGGTGCATTCGTCAATGGTGCCGAACGGCTCAAACATCTTCCGCACGTCTTCGTCCGACTGCTGTTTCCCCAGCATCCCTACAAACAGTTTCCTGTCTTCTGGAAGACACCAAAGAGGCAGGAAGTGGCTTAAAAAAAGAGGGGGGGACAAACTGCCCCCCCACCCCCGGAAAAAACACACCCGGCTCTCTGGCAGACCAACATTTCAACTGGGAATTTCGGGGTGCGAAGGCTAATAAATAAAAATTTAAAAGATTTGGCAGGATCTGGAGGAAGCTTGGTGCTTCAACTGGGAATTTCAACCTGGAATTTCGGGGTGCAAATGCTAATAAATAAAAATGAAAACATTTGGCAGGATCTGGAGGAAGCTTGGTGCTTCAACCGGGAATTTCAACTGGGAATTTTGGGGTGCGAATGCTAATAAATACTAATCAATAAAAATTTAAAAGATCTGGCAGAATCTGGAGGAAGCTCGGTGCTCCGGAAGCTTCGCGGTTTGAAGAATTGCAGAAACCAAAAGATTAAAATCTTTGGGTAAACGCAGAATCTGCAAACCCCAATCGGAGCATTGGGGCTGTCCATACCCCCCCCTCCCCACCCACCCCCCAAAAAATAACAGAGAGAAGGAAGACGTACCTCCTCGACTTTCGCTGTCTGCAGGTTTCACCTGGATTGGCCGATTCATCTGGAAGAGAAGGAAATGAATTTTAAGGCCAGAATGTCAAAGGTTTTTTTGGTGTGGGGTGGGTGGGTTTGCAAACGATCCATTGAAGCAACTATTAAGATCAATTTTCCCCCCTTCGTTTCGTTTCCAGAAACTAAAATAGGCTGAAAAAAGACTGCAGATACTACGAGGACTCTCCCAAAGTGTTGATTTCTGGAGGCTTCAAAAAACACCTTCAAAATTTCCAACATCAGCTGGGTAATTGTGGGCATCTTTACCACCCAAAACTATTGTTCGTGCTAATCTTTTTTTTATTTCCTTACATTAAGGCTTTTATTATACGATAAGATGCCCAGAATTGTTAGATAGGGAGATGGCAGTGAATTGATTTAATAAATAAGAATAGAATAGAGTAGAGTAGAATAGAATATAAATAGGAATAGAAGGGAAGAGAAAATATATAGGAATAGCAGAGAAAATAAATAAGAATAGAGTAGAATAGAATAAGAATAGAATAGAGTAGAATAGAATACAAATAGGAATAGAAGAGAAAATAAATAAGAATAGAGTAGAATAGAATAAGAATAGAATAGAGTAGAANTTTATTTTGCCTCTTGGGTCAAGATGCAGTGCGATAAATAAATAAATTTGACAAATAAATAGATAAAAATGGACTTGTCCGGCCAAACTCATCCCGAAGGGAATAGGGACCCAAAATACTTCGGCAGAAATATGATTTTTTCAGATTTTTCGTGCCAGCACAAAAAAGGAAGGCATGAGAAATCTGAAGAGAGAGAAAAAGAAAGCCATTTTCTGCCAACGGGGTGGAGATGCTCTTACAGATAGTCCTAGATTTACCAATGTTCATTTACTGACCGTTTCAAGTTACGACAAGCTTGGGAAAAAAGGCGAGCGTTTTTCACAGGTATCTTTGCAGCCTCGCCGTGATCAGGGGCTCAAAATTCAAAACGCTTGGCAAGCAGTTCGTGCTTACGACCGTTGCTGTGTCCCCGAGGGTGGGGTGGGACGGGGTGTCGCGCGATCCGCTTTTGCGACCCCCGGGGAAGCCAGGTTTCGCTTAACAGCCGGGTTACTCCCTTGCCCACTGCAGAAATTAATTTAGCAACGGGGGCAAAGGAGGTCGTAAAAACGAAGCAAAACTTACTTTGCAAAGGTCTCACTTCGCGACAGGAGTTTGAGGCTCGATTAAGGTCGTAAGGGCGAGGATTAGCCCCTTCCTGGATGAGTGTGTGTGTGTCAAAGGATTCTTTTTTTAATATCCTCATGTATTTTGCAAAGCGTTCTCAGCACCTTCCTTAAAAGAGCATTTCCAGGCTGCAACATGGAGCAAAGCTGCTAAGACTTATTTTCATCTTAATCTTCCACCTCCCCTTGTTAAAAATTTTGTTTTTCGTCCAACGTGAGGAGTTTTCACCACTCCGGCGATTCCCAGAATTCCCTTTTCCCAAGATCTGGACAGCTTTGGAGATGCTGAGATGATCATTCGCCCGTGGAAACTCACAACTGGACAATTCTGCTTTTTGAAGGCTCGGAGGCTAATAATAATTGGGGAGGCAGCCCGTGGGACGATATCGTAAAAATCGGGCTGTCCCGAGTTCAAATCTCGAGGCTTGTGGCTGCCCCTTGGCTGAGCCTAACTGTCAGGCTGTGAGTTAAAATATAAAAGTTTGAAGGAGGTTTTTTGACCCTCCAAGAGAGGCTGGACCACCTCCCCGAATAAGAAAGATTTTTTTTTTGCATTGATCCTTGTTTGCTCCTGTTGGGGAGGGAGGCCACTGCTGACATGCAGCCCCCTTAAAAGAGGCGTTTCTTGTAACAATCAAACAACCAGGAAGAATATAGTGGAGGAAAATTAGAAAATACCCTGCTAGAATAATGGAATTAAAAGTGAGTAAAGCGGTTTTGAAAAAAAAAAAAGGTACAATAATTATAAAAAGAAGAAGAAAAAGAAAGTAGGAGAATGGGAGGAAGGAAAGAAATTAAAAAGAAGTGGAATTTTTGAGCGACCAAGAGAAAATGGTTAAAGGAGGAGGAAAGGAAAGAAGGGATGTATTAGCAGACTAAAGTGGAATTTATTAATATTGTTAACGGCATGTAGCTAACTAAGATACAAGGGAATCATAGTAATTTTATTAACTGCGGATAATTCATTGAGTTAAATGCTCTCTATGTGTAAAAACGGAGCACGTGTGCCAATTACGGTAAGATAGACTTAACAGATGAAACATGAAATTTGGTTTAACTCTGAAGCGGCCATGAAGGATATATTGTTTACGTATTAAGGAGAAAATAAGCTTTTAAGATCCAAAACATGGAAAGGGAATTAGACGGGGGAAATTTGAAACAGAACGATGGTGTAAGATGGATTGTGTGCGTCAGAGGATGTAAAAAAGGGAAAACTTGGTTTGTAAAACGTGTCAAAATCTGTAATAAAAAAAAATAAAAACTTCCATTTATAAAAGAAACAAAATAGAAAGAAAGAAATAAAGGAAGGGGGTTTGTGCGAACTGCAACAGCGGCAACAAACAGCCGAGGAAAAGCCAATTTTAGCCTCGCTGTTCGCTATGTGCCACCTGCAATTTTGATCCGAGGGCCACCTGGATGTGTGATCTCTGGGTTGGGTTGAGTAAATTCCTCCCTACTCTCAGGTTCGTCGCTACACACACACGCACGCACGCACTCACCAAACACACATGTTGAACTCGAGCGGAGAAATCTTGCCACTTCCAAGATAAATATCGGCGTTTTGCCGATTGCAATCTTGACGATGAGGCAGAAGGGGCTGTGGATTGTGCTTTTTTGCAAGTCGCTGGATGGTGGAGGGGGGGGGGAAGGAAGCAAGATGATATTTGAAAATGGAGGGGGCAGGGAGGGGGGGCAGGGAGGGGTGTGTTTGGATCTCAGCAATTTCAGCTGGATTTTGGGGTGGGGGGGGATGACTCAACCCAAGAGTTGTTGGGTGACCAAAAAAAACCAGCTTCTTGGCGGGGGCAAAAGGACTGATTGTGGTGAAGAATGAACTCGGGTTCTGATTGACGGCTTCTGATAGAGCGACTTATCTCAGCGTCTTCCCACACCAAGTTTTTAATCATTTTATTATTATTATTTCCAGAAAAAAAAGTATTTGTTATTCTCTTACATAACATTTCAAGTATGCATTCACATAGATGTTATTCTTCTATACATTTGTCATTCTTACACTTTTATTATTTCCTTTAGTAGGTTATAATATACTTTATATATTGCTTTATTTACCATCCCTTCCACCTCGTTTTCCCTTTCTTTTCTCCCTCCCTCCCTTTTCTACTTTCTTCCTTCTTCCTCTCCTTCCTTCCTCCCTTGCCTTTCTCCCGCTCCTCTTCCTCTTCCCCTTCCTACCCTCTCTCCTTCTCTTCCTCTCCCTTCCACCCTCCTCTCCTTCCCTCTTTCTTCCTTCCCCCTTCTTCCTTTCAACAAGAATGTATATTTGTGAATGTATATGAAAGGAAAAAATAACGCAGCTCAGCGTCTTCCCACACCAAGTTTTTAATCATTTTATTATTATTATTATTACAACAGAATTGTATCACAGC